AAAAAAAAAAAAAAAAAAGGTGAAGAGTAATAGGTGGGTGTTTATGACTTTAGTAATAAAAAAGGAAAAACTTAGTCGTGCTCATGTACATATAGTTATAGTGTGTTGTACATTGTTGTCCATCTTTACATCCATCACGACCAGAAATCCTCTATCTGATATATCTCTCAAAAATACAACATAGTGTACTTCACAATAAATAATTTTATTAAAGAAACAATAAAAATAAAAAGGATCGTGACCAAAACCATTCCGCCAATAACTATTATATTTTGTGTCAAACAAAAAAGAAAAAAAATAAAGGTCCTTAATTAAAAGAAACTAGAATATTAAAAAAAAATGAGAGTAGTATATGAATACAAAATCAGTGAAAAGGGTCTTAGAAAGTCAACAAAGGTCAAAGGGACTCAAATCCATGTTCAATATAAATATATAAATAACAAATGTTTACTTCATAGAGAGTTGTCCAGTATTCCATGTATAAATGACCATAAACTGGCTTGGCAAAATGGTAATAATATAATTTTATATTATGCCAAAAATGAAATTATCAGTAAAAATTAAGAAGAAGAAAGAAGATATATGTAAATTGATAAATGTAAACTTACTTGATAACCGAGTAAGTAAGATTATTCTACAAAAGATTAAAATATGTATGTGAAACACATAAAATGATACATTAATTTAGTTAGGAAACGAAATTGTTTTAAAATTAAAAGACGTACTGAGAAAGAGAGAGGAAGAGAGAGAGAGAAAGCACATAAGGTGAAGACATACCGGAATGTCAAAGATATAATCAACCAAATGTGAAACATCCCCCCAACACGTAACAATGGCTCCAATGATCTTAGGCTTGGAATTCAATGATGAACCCATGACAACCTTGTAATGAAGTAGTGTTATAACGAGAAACAGAATAAAGTGTGTTATAAGTCATGAAAGAAAATTTATGATAAACTGACTTGTGAAAAGGATGAGAAGAGAAAAGAGTAACTGTCTATAGTTGTAGGTAAAAGTAATTTCTTGTAGTTATGTCACCATGACTAGTTAGTTTATAAATTTATGAAGATACACAATGATGGTTGTAAACCAAAATTCCCATGAAGAGATTATTTGACGATTAATGAAAAAAAGTAATTAAGAAATATGAAGATATAATTATCGCATCAAGCTAGGGGTAAAATTGATCAAAGAAAAGTGGAAATATAAACATTTGTCTCCAATTTATCTATCATATAGATTAGTAGGGGAAGAAAAGGCACAAATGCCTCTCAATTTTAGAAATTATAAATTAAATATAAAAAAAAAGAAATTGAATGAGTGGTTATAAATAGTTACTTGGAAAATATGAGTGGTTATTTTATTTAGGGATATAATGATTCACTAAAAGTAAAAATCAAAAAAAATTATTCACCGTATATTTTCTTTATAATATATATATATATATA